GATTGACTATTGTTGTGTTTCTAATCAGAATAAAAGTCGGCGTGTGATCAGAGGAGAGTTCTAAGGATGCCTCGGTAGCAATTTGATCTCTTTTTAAATTCTTTGTTACCGCAAAATCAATGACGTCTGGAGTTTTTTTCCGATCTGAAGGCCAGTATGTTGGTGTGCCAGTGGAGGATATGTTAAGGTCGAGTTTTGATATCACGTTCATCAGGGATTTTCCTTTTGGTGATATAAGTCTTGAGCCCCAGAATGTGTGTTTGGCATTGAAGTCGCCGGCCGCTATGAACTTGGGTCCAAGCCTTGTAAAATATTCTTCGAATTGAAGTTCCGTTATTTTATACCTTGGTGGACAATAGATTGAGGTTATATTCAGACCTTTTATGTATTCTTCTAGACATATGCTTGTCGCCTGCATATATTCTGCTTCAAGGGTTTGAGTTGGGAAGTGTTTAATGTGGTTTTTTATGAGGATAGCAGATCCGCCTCTTGCTCGTCCACTGGGGTGTTTCGAATCGTAGAGTATGTAACCAGGTATCTTAAAGTAGCTTTTCTCGTTAAAATGGGTTTCTGAGATCAGCATGACGTCAATTTGATGTGATTGTAAAAACAATACACGTTCGTTTTTATGTTGGCTTAAGCCGTTAGCATTCCAGAAGCAAATTTTGATTGCATTCATGGTTTGGATAGGATTGAAAGTAAGATATTTTGATTTTGAATCATTCCCTGCATCATATTTTGCATGGTGTTCATAAATTGTGTCATGTTTTCCATAAACAGTTGGATCATGTTTTCAATATTTGAAGATGGTTTAGTAAATTTTTAATTTTGGACGTTGCTTGGGCCAGTGAATCCTCTAACAGCGTTTGCATATGATATTTGTGTACACGTATTGTTGGAGTCAGATGGAGCATTTGGCTGAGATCGCATTTGAGTAGGGTGTGGTGGGATTACTGACTGAGAGCGGGGACGCAATGCTGGAAACATTCTTTGTTTTTCGGTAGTGTATACTACACATCCTTTATAATTAGCGGTGTGGTTGCCTCCACAATTTCCGCATTTTTTTGTTGTTGGGTCCTTCTTATTTGATGTGCAATCCTTAGTGCGGCGAAAGTCGCCACATGCAACACAAACACTACGAAGTGTGCAATAGGACTTCGAATGTCCATATTCCTGACAATTAGTACACTGCACCGGGTTTTTACGCTTGTGCGGTTCTTCTACTGATATTTTTCTGTGTAGTAGGAATTGTAGGGAATAAATTGGATGAGCCTCGTTCGATTTGAGTTTCTTTCCTTCAGGTTCAAGCTCTATTTTATAAAGTGGTGCGAAACTTTATCGCGGTTTTAAATGTTGTATATAGATTTTGATTTAAATCCTTTTTCTTCAAGTGCTTCTTTAATTTCTGCTGTATTCAAATCTGGTTCTATTCCTCTTATAACTACTGTTAAACCTTTGGCACTTTTTAATTGATAGGTGTAAAAATTTTTTCCATTTTTTTCGAAGTTGTTTACAACTGCTCTGTAATGTTTTTCTTCGTTGATCGAGATTTTTGTTTCATCGACATTTCCTTTACGAAGAGGCACAACATGGAATGAATCTTTGCCAATAATTTGTGTTAGGGAGTATATAAGAGCGTTTGAATTTTTTTCACGCAGAAATATAGGTGGCGGTTTCTGGGTAGGGGCGGGTCTGGTATTTTTATCGTCTTCGGCTAGAGCGGCAAAACGATTCGCTGTCGAAATATTTTCTATTTTTCGAGTTTTTGTCGAGATTGCATTGTTAGCATTTTCTTGTTTCGGGCTACGTTTTCTTTTTATGATTTGAATATATTTATCCATGCCACGGACTTTGGGTGAATCAGGATTTTTTGCTATGTTACTATTCTTTTGCAATATATTTGGCAATATGTTAACATGTTGCGCTGATGCTGTGTTATTTTTCGAAGATGTTGCTGGACTTTGCGGTTGGTAGCTTGATTGTTTGCAAGAATTTTCACTTACCGAGTATGAGCGTTGCCTTTGGGTTTGGTTGTTTAGCATTGTTGTTTGGTTCGTAGTTGGCTTCTCAGAACTACCATCTGCTGTTGAGTAGCATATGGGTGAGTGGTTTGTGCCTCCGCTATGCGAAGGCGGTGATCTATTAATTGGCATATCGTGGTAGGTATCGTGGAAGTTAGCTGAGCAGCCAACTGTCTCTGAGTAATTTGTTGTGAAAAAGAAGCTTCTACTTTTTAATTATTTAATTATAAACCTTTAGAGTTCTGTTTTAAATGACACGAGAAAAATAGTATGTATTTAAAAAGAAAAAATATAAATATATATTATTAATATAAGTATAATATAAATTTATAATATAATAAAATATAAATTTCAATTTTTCTTAAGAATTTATCAAACAATAAATTTTTTTTTTTGTTTTGAGGCGTCCTTTCGCGTATTTATTTATTTTATTTATTTAGCATAAGTTTGTTATTTAATTACACAATTACACAATTTTTCAAATTTGCGATTTGTAATTTGTTTAGCTATTCTACCCGTTTGCAACACTTTTTTGTAAATTTGTTTTTGAGCTTTTAAGCTTAGTTTGCTGTCTCTATCAGCTGTTTTCAAGTGTGTGTGAATTTGGAAAAAAGTAAACAAATTCGAAAACAAAATCAAAATTTACTTTTTTCGCAAAAATAAATAAATATAATAATATTTTATTTTATCGGGCACTATTATTTTTTTATTAATATTATTTAAGAGTCACTGTCTCAATTATTTGTGATGAGTTTAATATCACTTTTTAAGTTTTTCGCGTAGAAAACACTGAAAGTTACGGAGTGATTTTTTTGCGCGCCAATGCTGATCACAGTATCCATAATAATTAATTCCATTTTATAATGAATTTCTGATGATAATGAATACATGAAAAATAATATGCAATATATAGGTCATTAAAATCAAGTCATTAGTTCATCGGTGTAAAGCCTATTTGACCATTACATCTTTATAAACTTAATTTCGTTTCCAATGCAATTTTTTTCAAACAAGAAAAAAACACTATTTATTTGAATGATGTTATAAAAATTACAACTCATATATACAGATTTATTACGGCTTGTGTTCTTATACAAACAGAGCAAACTTGTGTATATATCCGGAACAATTTTTGTGGAATATAATTTCAAATGAATTACTATAAGATCCCTCTTATCCCTAAAGCATGTATTAGTAATTTAGTGTTATATGATTAATAACATTAATATATTATTTGATTAATAATAGTTCTAGTAATTTCCCATATCTCTAATACTGAATATATCGTTAAACTTCAATAAGGTATATACCACATAATGCTTTCCGAGAAGTGAATCTACTCAAATCATTGGGGTTTAACTTAAGTGACATATATTTAACTTTTAACTGACACACTTGTACCTATTAACAAACCTTAAGTCCACCTCAGAACGCACAGGAAGATATGCTGATCTACGGTCCGTCAACAGTTAAAAGACAAGTAAATGATAATAATTGTAGTATAGTTAAAGCTTAGTGTGGGGCAGGGATAAGCCCCCCAGTCATTAAAACTAAACCACAACAACAACTTGTGCCTAATATGGAACAGTTAAAAGTTACTTACATGTACATTAATAGAGTTTTATATCACTGTTCAAAAAGATAAAAAATTTATGTATAAATTGACAAATAGTTATAACAATATTTACTTAAGTACAATTTCAATAAAGATATAGAATGCGAATAATTTTACAATCTATGGAATTATTATTGCTTGAGCGAATTCTGGTTGTATTTTTTGTGTGCTGATTGAGGTATAATTTTCAAATATTTCCCTAAATTTTCTTTTGTGTTGGCACTTAACTAAAAGTTTCTTTCGGCAGTGAGCTTTTCGTTGAGCTTTTTACCAAAAAGCTTTGCATAACTATAATTTTGTGTCACGAAAGTGTAACGTGTAAACACAATTGACACAGAATATGTAATAGATCGCTTTCAAGCTTGCCTGGTAAAACACACAACTAATAAACTACTAATAGAAGTGTTATTTAAATTTTGAGATCTGATATAAAAAACGCATGTTATAGATCCAAGCAAGTCTGCTACTATATACTTTCAAGTCACTTTCAATAAAGCACGAGTACATTAGAGAAGTTGCAATTTAAGTCAATAACGATTATTATGCCTTCTACTTCCCCTTTTCATCCGCACTCTTTCTATCAGCGTGCTGTATACGAGTACGTAATCACATTATATTCATTTGAGATTGTAATTATGATACCACTTCCATTGTTATGTCATTTCCATCATTGCCATGTCATCGAGAATTTTTGAACAAAAAGGTGAATATATATTTTTTTCAGTGTAAAAGCTTCTTTTGTTTCAAAAATAGTTTCCCAAATTTTAGAAAAAGTTTTCAGTCAGAAAAATTCGATCGCAGCAACTAAACACAATTTTAATCGATGGTACATTAATAAATCGTTATATATATTTTGCAAAATAGTTTTAAAAACTACTGGCAATATATTTTTATTAAGAAGTAATTAATTCAACTTTATTTGTTACAAAATAATTAATATTTGATACGCACAACAGAGACTATGAAAATTGGAAAAAACACCAGAAAACAACGCAATTTAGAGAAAAAAATTTTAATATAATTTTTATTTATGTTCCGCATTAAAGTGAAAAATGTGTGAATAATAAAAATATCATTAATAAAACAAAAATTTAAATCGAATCGAACGTTTCGTAATGTGAAATTTTTGAGCGAATAAATATAAAAAAACTTAGGAGAAAGCTTTCTCCGAGCAAAACAAAGACAAGATATATAAACATCAACAAAACATTTTTTGAGAAAATAATTTCTTTCTTTTTTTTTAATATAAAAAGAAACCGGCAGACTTGTATGTAAACAAATGCAAAAATAAAATACTAAAAAAAATATATTCTTTAAATATTTTATTTAAATTTCATATAATAAAATTGAAAGTCGAAAAGATAATGTCGAAAAAGTGTGACGTGCGTGCACTTAGCGATGGTGCACTAGCCGAGTTGGCCAACTTGATTGTATCTACTTTGGGTTATGCTAAATATGCACCAGATGTGCATCTTGACATTGAAGTTGTCATGGTGGAAATAAACCAATACCTAGAAATATGTGGGGCTACATCAAATATATATCAGGATCTGCTACGCGTGATACTTTGCTCAGACTATTTGGATGCAAATATGCGTTTTACTTGCCTGCAGATGTTACTCAATTGCAGTGTAACTTTTCTCGTGACAGATGTATTCCCCTTTTCCTACTACCAGAAAATATTACAGGTAATAGCAGCACAAGGATCTGGCTTACGTGTACTTAATCTTAAAGGTGTTTGGGTTAAAGAAGAGCATATGCATTACATGTTCGAAATAATTAAAAAATGTCAGTACCTAACAAAATTATTTGTACCATACATAGCAAACGATGACTTGCTTGAAGTGATCGCTAAGCATAGCAAAAACTTACGTATACTGGATATTTCCGGAGAAACAGATGTTACCGAAAACGGTATTTATTCACTCAGTAATGGTGTTTGTTGTCAGAATCTTGCTGTAATAGACGTTGGCATGCCCGGCGAGGAAAATATTTGCTACTCTGATATAGC